GGCATTACAACAAGCTACAGTATGCTTTAATATTCAAAGAATGTAGTTTTTAATTATGTCATCATTCTTACTGCACCATAACAAAGTTTCCATAAATCAAATATAAACGTTTTAAGGGACAGTACAGGTAGTCCTTGAATTACAACCATAATTGGAAGCAGAATTTCCATTGCTAACTAAGGCAGTTGTTAAGTGAGTTATTATCTAAAAAAAATTGCTGCACTCCTTATTTCTTTATCTGTAATTTGCACAACGGTTAAAATGCCAACAAACTCAACTGTGCTGTATTCTGTTAGAGCTGCTGGGGAAATATTCTTAATAGAACTGTTTACTTTGAAAGGCAACATAAATTTAGCCCCGTGTTCGTGCTCAGCAAAATTATGTATTCTTTGTACTAGAATTTCTAAATAATTTTGGTGATCTTTCATATTAGGATACCGTGTTTCTCATATAATAAGGCCGGGTCTTTTTTTTTTTTTTTTGAGCCCCCAAAAAACGGCTAGGCCGTCTTTTCGGGGGTGACTTAATTCCCCCCCCCTTGCATCTTAGGGCGGGCGGCGATGGCTTGGATGTTGACCTTGGCGTTGGTGGGGCACTTTGTATCAGGGTCAACGCAGGCAGCACCATATCCGGGTGTGCAACAAAAGTACTTCCTAACAGCAAGCCCCCCCCCCCGCCATTTCCCCCCCATTTCGCATGTTTTAATATAGGCCTTAATTTGGGGGGAGGGGCTTAATTTCATTTCATGCCTATAAAACATGCTGGGACTTCCTATTGTGGGAGGCCATATTGTTGGAGAAACAGGGTATTATTTTCCAGACATATCCTTAAGGGAAAATGGGTACCTTTTATTTAGGCTGCAGAGGTCAATAGATTCCTCAAGTCTATTGCTAAATGCAGTATAGCTTTCATAACACAATGGAAATCTAATACAATTTCCTTAAAAGATTTATGCAGCAATGTTCTCATTAAAAAGTAACCAAACCAAGAAGTCAAACAATGAAACACAGTGCATATTAGAAGCTAATATACCACCCTAAATACTTAGATTGTCAAGCTGAAGATGTTGCATATGTAAATAGAACAGTTCTCCCAACTGAAAATCTCTCAAAACATGTAGAAAAGCATTTTATCTATAGTGCAGACTTGTTTCCACAAATTCATATTCCATTCTGTCTAGACTCCAACACTATGCATCTGTCAGTGGGGCAGTTTCTACTGAAGGAAGAAGAAAAAAACAACCCCACCTACACTCAAAACTTTCCACTGAGGATGTATCAATCTTTTAAGGTATCTAAGAGAATTGCCAAGAGGAAAACATCCTCTTCGAACAACAATTTTGTTTAATCTACAGTTGTGAAAAAAAGTACAATCCGTATATTTTTTTTCTTTAGATATGTGGATGCATCAATGTTCAAACAACATTAAATGTAAAAGTGATGCAACTGAACTAAAAAAATGACCTTGCAATCATTTATTCAATAAAAAATTAACAGATATTATATGCCATTTGTTTCTGTGGGAAAAGTACGCCATCTAGAGTTCCTTCAACAATGAGATGGAAAGCATAGAAATTTAATAAATAAATACTGTTGGATTGAAAATAAAATATCTATGTTCTACTATATTTGAAAAGTTTTTAAAAATCAATTTACCTTTTTACTTCACTGTAGATCTCAGGCAAGTAAAAACAATACTTAACATCATAAAACCAGAATGAAATACACATAATTTGAGGAGTACTATCTGAAAGTACACCTGCTTACATACTAGTTATTAGAGGAGACCCCAAAAGTTGAGTTCTAGTGATACTTAAGGATAAAGGGGGTCTCTAACTATAGAATGCATTGAGTCCTCATGCTCTTATGTCATAGATGTGGCACATAGATAATGTGTGCAAGAAGGTATTTTCATTATATTTTAAAATCAAACCATAACATGCAATGAAAAGCACTCTCTAACTTCTCCACTGACAAGGCAAAAAGGACAGAGGTTCAAAAATATGCAAAAGGCTATTAAAGCCACACAATTAAAGCAGAATAGAAAAACAGTAGTTACTACTGAACTAAACAGAAAGATGGAACTGAAATTGAGAAATAATACCAAAGATTAGTCAGCTAAAAACAGAAATATTATTAGAGAAAATAGTACTTTTATAGACATCCTAAAAATAGCTGCAAAAAAAAAATCAGTACCTTAAATTAATTTGATTTCAAAACTGTTTCCACCTTTTGTAAAATTGATACATTATTAAAAATTTATAATACTTCCACCTTCTCTGCAGTCAACTAAACACCCCTAAATTTAACACAGAATAAGTTACTGGTATTTAATAAAATGAAACCTTAACACTTACAGCATGTGCACATTTTTTTAAAAAAATCAGCAAATCCTGTCAATATGATCATTCAAATGTGCTATAACAGTAATTCTCATATCTATAGTATTATTAAAATATATTCAATACTCCTATGCTTAAATTTCAATGTTTCTGAAAAACTTTGCCTTCTAATTCCAGATCAGACAAATCACACCAAGTTTACAAATTCAATTGGGCTTATTTGGAATAAATTTCAGTGAATTTAGTAATATCTTGAAATAAATAAAAGACTATAAGAAATGCAACCTAAGATAATCATATTAAGACATATACAAGTTATCATCTCTATTTCTATCAACTCTTGCAATAGTTTAGAAATCACAAAAGCTGACCCAAAATAACACCATGGCTGAAAGATAATAGCAACCAGCTGTCCATAAGATTATAGCCATTGCAGAATACTCATTACATGAAAATACAAAACATGAAAACAAATGAGCAAGAATTAAGAAACTATAAAGTCTTAAAATCATTGTGATTTCATACTGTAATACATTTATGAGGCTGAGCAATTTTCAAAATTACAAATTTAAGTAAAAATATATGCCTTATAGGGAAAGTGTAAAGCATATAGTGTAAAGCATATCTTTGCTTGTTGCAATATCTGAGAATATCCCTGGAGAAAGGAAATGGCATTAACATGCTGCCAGGATGTTAATAACAGTTTAGTTACAGCTGGGGGGGAGGGATTATTCATATTGGCCCATGGTTGACCCAGTCTTCCATAGAAAATTTAAACTTAAGCCATTTTACAAAGCTTCGATGTCATTTTATACTTATGTTTTTCACAAAACATGATTCATATACATTAAAAAGGGATACATGTATTAAAATATATAAATACAGGTAGTCCTCGACTTACAACCATTCATTTAGTGACTGTTCAAAGTTACAATGGCACTGAAAAAACTGACTTATTTTTCACACTTCTGATGGTTGCAGCAACCCCATGGTCACATGGTCACAATTCAGACGCTTGGCAACTGGCATGTATTTATAGAGGTTGCAGTGTCCTGGGGTCATGTGATCACCTTTTGTGACCTTCTGACAAGTCAAGTCAATGGGGAACCAGATTGACAACCCTGTTACTAACTTAACAACTGCAGTGATTCACATACCAACTGTTGCAAGAAAGGTTGTAAACTGAGGCAAAACTCATTTTAATCACTGCCTTGCTTAGCAGTGGCAATTTTGGGCTCAAATGTGGTCATAAGTTGAGGGCTAACTGTGCCCTGTTATTTACACAGAACATTATTGAAGTGCAAGAGAAGGGTGACTTTTCGTCCCATCTGTGGAGCACATGTTCATGGACAAAGTGAGCCAGAGCAGTTCCCATGAAGTGAAGGGAAATGACCACAATTCTACAGACTGCACTTCCCAAACCTGGCATCCTCTAAATATGACCGACTTCAACTCCCAATGATTCAGAGTCAGATTTGGACCATTCTGGCAGGGAAGGGCAGGAGAGTTCTAATGCATTTCCTGAGCACCGAATTTGGGGAGTCTGTTCTAGATCCATTAAATCAATTGAATATAAACAAGCTAACGATTGAGAGTTTAAGAGTTCTACCCACACAACTCCAGAAATTTCTTCAAGCCAAAAGTACAGGTAGTCCTCGACTTACAACAGTTCATTTAGTGACCGTTCAAAGTTACCAGATCACTGAAAAAAGTGCCGTACGACCATTTCTCACCCTTCCACCCGTTGTAGTGTCCCCATGGGTCACTTGATTTACATTGGGACACTTGACAACCGACTCACATTTATGACCCCGTTGCAGTGTCCAGGAGTCATGCGCTCGCCATTTGCGACCTTCTGACAAGCAAAGTCAATGGGGAAAGCAGACTCACTTAACAACTGTCTTATTAATTCCACAACTTGCAGTGATTCCCTTAACAAATGTGGCACAAAAAGTCGCAACATGGGGGCAAAACTCACTTAACCAATTTCACACTTGGCAAACATTAATTTCAGGCTCCATCGTGGCTGTAAGTGGAGGAGTATCAGTATTGCTTCAGTTACCAAGTTGCTAGTTTCCCATATCCTGCCAACCACTGTCATCCGTTCAGAACATATGGTTTGCTCTGTATTATCTATCCCCCCCCCCCCCAAAAAAAAATGCCCGGGCAAAGGATTAGGCAAACTAGAAATGGCAAGTTGGGAGTTGAGAAGGTTAGGCATGGCACAGACCGCCTTATGCAAGGGGGCGGCTACACGCTTGAGGTGCCAAGAGACCGCTCAAAATAACACGCCATCCTTCAGATGCAGAACTCCTCCAATCACCTCGTGGGGGGCCAACAGCCATTCGGAGGGCTCCCCACCCCCGGCCCACCGGTAAGCAGCGCACGAGCGAAGGGGCGGGGCAAGGGAAGAGGTCGGAGAAAGAAGGGAGGGCCAATTGGAAGCATAGCGGTAAGAGACAGACAGTGGGGCAACAGAAGCCCCGGATCTTGGGCGTTCGATCCGAGGCTCGTTGCCTCGACTGATGGACGGCGGAGGGGTGGGGGGGAGAAATAGAGGCCACAGTCGCAGTCCCCAATCCGTCAACTGGCACCCACATACAGCTCGCCTTCGTAGGCCGCGAATCTAGCCGCCACCGCCCAAAGACGACATATTTACCTGTGTTGGCCAGGGAGTCGCGCTCCCTCGCTCGGCCAGGTGACTGTTGCACTGTGGCTGTTTTTTTTTTTCCTTTTTTTTTTTTCTTCCTCCCCCTCTCTTACGTCTCTCTCTCTCTCTCTTCTGGCTCCGCAACCCTCCCAGGCCAGGGGAGGGAGGCTGCCGTGCGGAAGTGGAAGGGCACGAGGGAGGGCTGGAAGGGGGCGGAGACAGAGCGGGTGGCTGTTACTGCTTGGCTGGCTCCCGGAACCACGTCCGGGTTTCTTCAGGCCTTTCTCGCTCTCCCTCTTCTCCGCCCATTTTTTTTTTTCGCCCTCCTCCCCTCCCCGGAGCGAGGAAGTGGTCCCTTCCGTTTGTCTCACGCGGCGGTTGCTTGGCCCTTCGGGCGCGTGCCCACGCTTGTCTTCTAAGTTCACTTTGCGGGGGTGGGTCTAGTGGGGTTAAGGAGGCAGGCGGGGCCAAGCGACCCGCGGAGGCCGCTTTCACGTGACGGGGCTGTTTACTCGGTGTGTGCTTCGCTGTGCGGCGGCGCGTGTGCGCGCATGCGTATCTTCAAGCGTTTTGTTTGCCTCCTGGAAACCGTTTGTGGTGAGCGGGTTACGCTTTCAGTCAGCATCTTGGGCAGATGTGCTCAGTTCCACTTTGGAAGCCTTTTCTATAGAAAATCCGTTTGTGCGGAAGTATAGCTTAAATTAAAAAACTAAAAATGTTTCCACACATAAACCATATGTAGGCTGTCCTCCAAGAAAGCTGTGTTTCCGAAAATTCACTGTCAGGACTCCTAAGTATCATGGAGAATCCCAAAGAGATTTTGTTTATATGGGTTATATTCATCAATATTTATCCTATAAAATTAAAAAGTTGCATTTGTAGAACGTTGTATTTATTGAATTAGGTAATAATATGAACCCATTAAATACATTTTTCATGAAAAATGTCCTTTTTTAATTAAAAAAAATGAAGGGTGACCTTTGAAAATCTTTCCATCTTCAGCATCTGGCAAATAATTTTGATTTCACAGACCTCTGAGAAGAACTTTATTTATTTATTTATTTATTTATTTGATTTGCCAGTTGTTTACAAGATAATAAGTATAAGTGTGTACATAGTTGTGAAATGGGTACATATAAGAAAAATAAAAGAATAAGAGAAACAATAGGACAGGGACGGTAGGCACGTTGGTGCGCTTATGCACGCCCCCTTGGAAGATCCCTCCAAGAATTCAATGGACCAAACTTTAAGAAACATAGGCATATACAGATTTTTAAAAAGAGATTGATTTCAAGGTGACTAGATGCATTTGCTCCCTACATACAGAGAATGCTAAATAAAATATTAACAGTCCAATTTTCATCACCGTATTCCAAAACACAAAAGTGGATGTCTTGGGAATTTTGAGTCTCAGATTGTAAGGAAGCCATAGTTGTCCACCCTGGCCTTAAAGAATCTCCCTCTCTTTGAGCTAGATTCCTTACTTTCTATTCCCCACCACAGGTCTGTTACCTTTTTATGTGAGCAAGTTGTTGCTAAGGCACTGTATAAACAATAAAAATTGCCCTCAAGCCAATTTTTGTTTCTGGTGATTACATAGACAAAGCCAGTTTTCTTGGTAACAGTAGTTACTTTAAGCCATTACTTTTGGACTTCCCACTCTAGGTTACAGACAAGGGATCCTCTGATGGTCTGTCATCCAAATGCTTAATCTGGCCTGCCTTGATTTAGCTCCAAAACTCAATTAGGATCATCCAGGTGCTAAAAAAAAAAAAAAAAGGCTGTTTGCTATTTACAGTTTACCAGTATAAAATGCTAGTCAATAACTGTAAAGAAAAAAGTCAGTTTGGTAAATTTCTCTAGGAATATACAGTACTGAACATGATAAATGCAGTTTTGGTGAACTTTGTAAGTGTGAGCTTGTACATGATTAGAAGTAGCTTTTTATTATGCAAACTTTAAAATCCTGAAAACCTAGTTAGAATAGGTATTCTTTTCAATGAATGGAAAGATATATTTTTAACAATGTATCACACCATTATGGGCTACATAGTTTATTCAATTGGAACAACCCAGAAGAAAGTTACTCTGGCTGTTGCAACAAAAATAGCAAAATATAGTAGCTCCTTAAAAATTGAATATCAATTAATAAAGGATTTAGCACAGGGGCGTCAAATGTCACAGCATTGTCACATGATGTATCGTGACTCTTTCCCCCTTCGCTAAACCAGCCATGGGCGTGACCAGCGCTTGATGCATCTGGCCCGCAGATCCCGAGTTTGACAGCCTTGGTTTAGCACTTCAGTCTTGGTTTCTTTCTTTTTTTTATGTAATGGTAATTCAAGGAGTATAGGATGTACAATCTTGTGATATCCATTAAGCCAATGTTTCTCAAACAAGGAACCTTTAAAATGTGTGGAAGTCAACTCCCAGAATTCTCCCCCGCAGTATGGCCACTGCTAAGAATTATAATAATGCACATCCTAAAAGTTGCTCAAGTTGGGAAATGTGGCTTTGAATTGCTGCAAAAATTACACTGTACACATAATATTAAATTAACAAGCCCACAAGAAATTATAAGCTGAATCTTGCTATTTAAGAAATATATACATTAAATACAAGCGAGTCTACCGTCTAAGAGGTATTAATTGCATAATGACAAAATTGACTTTCCTGCTTACTATATTCCCAATGCCAGGAAATTTTTCTCTTGTGCAACCATACATTCATATTAACAATTCAGGAATTAAGATTGTAGCATGCAGTGTTGTTATACAATTACATCTAGGACAGGGGTGTCAGATTCGATTTCACTGAAAATGAAGCAGGGTTATGTTTGACTTTGGAGGGCATGGGGGGGCATGGAGCGTGGCCATGGTGTGTAGCCATGGTGGTGTGACATGTGACCTCTGTAAGGGGCACCTGTGGTGGCCAAGTGCTAAGGCAGGACTTCTGAGATACTCTCTCACTCATTATAACCTTCCTTCTTTCCTTCCTTCCTTCTTTCCTTCCTTCCTTCTTCTTTTTCCTTCTCTCTTCCTTCTCCTTTTTTCTTCCTTCCCCTCTTTCCTTAATTTTCCTTTCTTGCTCTCTTCCCATCTTCTCTTTGTCTTTCCTCTTTTCCTTTCTCCTTTCCTGTCCCTTCTTCGATGCTCAGATGCAAAAGGGAAAACATTTTTCCTTTTATTTTGAGTGTTTTTATAGCCTGCTGCCAGCGAAAACTGAGTCGGGGGGGGGGGCTGCATGAGTGCCTCCCCCTGCACACTCCATTTTTGCTGGCAGAGGCACCATAGGCTGGTCCTTTGTTGTTTCCAGGCCAGCCTCGTGGGCCAGGTTTGGTCTGTGGGCCTTGAATTTGACACCCCTGATCTAGGATGGCAACTTAAAAGCAAAAAATAGTTATTATAGCATAATTTTAAGGGATCAAGGTCTGTCAGATGAAGTCCTTGAGTTACAACATTTAAGGCCAAAATTTCCATTGCTAAGCATGACAGTTGTTAATTGAATTTTGCCCCATTGTACAGCCTTTTTTTTTTCAGAGCTGGGCTGCTGCCAATTTTCACTGGTTCAGCCGAATCGGTTGTTAAGATTATGCGTAGTTCGACGAACCGGCAAATCCCACCACTGACTGGCCCTACCCCTGCTTGTTTTTTGGCCTGTTTTGGGGGGCATTTTCAGGGCCAAAATGACCTGAAAACAGCCTGAAAATGGCCCCAAAACAGCTTGAAAAGGGCTCAGAAAATGGCCTTTTGGGGGGGCATTTTTCAGGCTGTTTTTCGGACCAAAAATGGCTTGAAAACTGCCCAAAACCTGCCTGAAAATGGCCAAAAAAACAGGCCAAAAATGGGTGGGGGCATGGTCAGCCAGTGGTTGAATCCTACCTCTGCCTTTGAGGTGAGTGGCCAGGAGGCGGGGCTAGGTGTGATGAGTGACATCACCCACCCAGTCACATGAGCAACCGGCCATGCGCACCCAGCCAGAGAACCGGTTGTTAAAAAATGTGCAGCCCACCAGTGCTTTTTTTTTTTTGCCATAGTTGTTAAGTGAATCACTTCAGTTGTTAAGTTAGTAACATGGTTGTTAAGTAAATCTGGCTTTCATGCTGACTTTCCTTATCAGAATGTCACAAAAGGTGACTTCATGACCCTGGGACACTGCAACTGTAATAAATACAAGCCAATAGTCAAGTGTCTGAATTTTGATCACATGATCATGGAGATGCTGCAATGGCCATAAATGTAAAAACAGTCATAAATCATTATTTTCAGTACGGCTGTAAATTCAAATGGTCACTAAACAAATGGCTGTACTGAAAAAGAGGAGATGACCAGAAACAATAGTTTTAATCCCACGTCTCACTTTCAGTTTGGATTTTCTTAAAGATGATAGGTAAGCTGAGTAAGGAATATCTATTTAATGTAGGCATTCAGGAATGTAACAAAATAGTAATATGTACTAAATACTTGTATACTTGTATATACTAATTAGTACCAACAAAAACGTATGGCCATTCTAAGATCATTTATGGAATACTAGGTATGATTCCGGACAATTTCCACAATATGGACAGGTCAGAGTTTTTAGAGAAAGGCAATAAAGATAGAGGGACCTATATATCCTATGAGGATATGCTAAAGGAACATGATATATTTAGTCTGGAAAAAAGACTCAGGGAAGATGCACAGGGAGAAGATAGTCAAGATTGATTTTCCATGGCTACAGAAACTGGAATCAGAAATAACTGATAACACAGTGCATTCTGAAAATATCCAGACCCCCTTCATTTTTGTCAATTTTGTTATGCTGCAATCTGATTCTACAGTTGTTGAAATTAATTTTTTTTCTCATTAATCTAAACTCAGTACTCCCTAATGACAAAGGGAAAACAGAAGTTTAGAAATGTCTGCAAACTTATTATTGGAAGGCATAGATCTGGGGACGGCTACAGTAATATTTCTACTGCACTGAAGGTTCCTAAGAGCACAGTGGACTCCATAATTCTCATATGGAAGAAGTTTGGCACAACCAGGATTCTTCCAAGAGCTGGTCTCCCAGTCAAACTGAGCAATGGGGGAGAAGGGCCTTAGGAAGAGAGGCAACTAAGAGCCTAATGGTCATTCTGATTGAGTTCCAGAGATCCAGTGTAGAGATGGGACTCAATTCCAGAAGCCTTACACGTATCTGGGCTTTATGGCACACATGAAAAGCCCAGTTGGGAGTTTGCAAAAAAGGACCTGAAGGACTCCGGGTGGAACAAGATGCTCTGGTCCAATGAAACCAAGATTGAACTGTTTGGTCTCAATTCTAAACGTTATGTCTGGAGGAACCCTGCCCAATATCACCCCAACTGCCCATTATCATCCCAACAGTGAACTATGGCGGTGGCAGCATCATGCTGTGGGGGTGTTTTTCAGCAGCAGGGTCTGGGAGACTGGTCAGGGTTGAAGGAAAGCT